TTTTGATTTTGACCATTTGTTACCACATTGGGAGACACTATTGAGGTTATTGAGCATAATGCTTAGGTCCACCAGCGATTCTGCCATAAGAACTATATCGCCCATTTATGTTATTATCGTACCCTTTCGAGTCCAGTAACTTGAAAACGTCTTCCAATGCAGTGGTGAAGAGTTTCGGGGATATAACTTCACCCTATCTTACATCTCTCTGCAGTTGGATAGGTTTCGTGCTCTGGTTCTGTACTCGGATAGCTATCGTAGCCCTACTGTACAAATACTCCAGCACTACGATATACCGACAGTCTACTTTGCACTGCGGAACGAACTGCAGCACCGCCCAGATTTTGACGGAACCAAAGGCATTCTCATAGTCAACCAGAATCAATCAAAAGCCAGTTAATGAAAGATTGCGGCTGTGCTTTTCTGTATATATGTACAGCAGGGTATATGTGCAGTAGAGTGACAAAAAAATTAACTGTAGGAGATGTACTAAGACTTATACTCAAACAAAAAGAGATTTATTTAATAAATTGATCGAACAACGGGAATACACTATTTTAAAACATAACATTTTGACTTTTTTAACTTAACGAAGTTTTTAATGTTACATATGGATATTTCAGGCCTTATACATGATACCTAAATAAGTACGCTTACAGAAAAATGTGTAAAAAAGCTTTTAAAAATGGAAATAAATAAGAAATTTGATATAAATTGGTTAGGGTGTACACGTCATAAAACTGAAGTAAATGTACATGATTGGTGCAACATAATAAATAACATTTTTAAAGCAGGTGTACAAGAAAAACTTATGAGACAGACGTGTGCACCTCATAAAACACAAATTGTCTTTGACAAATTTAAAATCCATAGATTAAGAGGAAAATATTGTAAAAAGTAAAATCGCCAATCTCGTTTTATTTTTACATTATTTTGTTATATTCGCATTCTATGAACATAACGAAAGAATCTTAATGAAACTTACAATTTATATACATATGTATAATTAACCCCCTAAGAATTTTCAATGGAACATCACTATTCTATAGACATTCTATACCGTATGGTCATCGACATTTATAGTACGTTGTGCGATATCACTAGGCGACATTACGACATAAGGGCTTTAGCAATTTTCCCCAAGAATCACATCGGAAAATTGTATTTTCGAGCTATGACCTTTAGAAAAAAATATTTACTGCCATGGACAGTTTCCCCGGAATTTCTTTTTTAAAATAATGTTAATCAATTATAAATAGGTAGATGATTAGGTATATAATTACAGTCGCTTTGGGTAACTTTGAATTGCGATTTAACTTTGAACAAAGTTGTGAAAAAGATTTATTATGTTAGTCATGGAACGTTTTGTTGTTTCAATATCGTAACTGCGTAAAACGGATCGCCAAAATGTTTTGTAGCTACCGACCTCTATACATACAAGAAGTCAGTGTTTGTAGCAAACGAAAAATTAAAAAATAAACCGTCAAATACATAATTTTGAAAATTACTTGCCTTTTCCGTAGTGAAGTTATTGCAAGTGTTTGTTGCTTTGACTGGAAATCGTAATTAAATATACTAAACTTATTGTAAATAGGTATATTTCTATTTAAAATGTAGATTATATATATTTTTTTTAAATCGTTACATACTCCATTTTGATGTTAAATATTGTGTAAAACCGATGAAGTTTTGACGATGATCAAAATCGAAGTAACCCCGGGGTTAGAAGATATGGATTCAAGAGTAATTATACCTCTGAATTACTCGAAGAAGCCCTCAGTAAAATTCGTTCAGGTGCAATGTCTAGACACGCTGCTTCAAAGTTTTACAAAATACCCGCGGTGAACCTTTTTTTACAAATTGAAAAGTAAACAACATATTAAACCAGTTGGTAAACCTGTACTTTTAGTAAAGACGAAGAAACTAGGTTCAAGGCTCATTTGTTGCTGCTAAGCGATCTGGGCATACCTATAAGTATGATGGACTTCAGATTTGTAGTAAAAACTACTTAGACAGCAAAAATATAACAAAGCCACAACTTAAAAACAACCAAACTTAAAATCAAACCAAAAAGTATTCCTTAACCGGTTACTGGAACACATTTAAGGATCGAGCACTTTTAATTGACTGATGTAAGGAGTTCAAAAGTCTTACTCCAAGTACAAAAAAATTGGGGAAACGGACGAAAAAGGAGGGAAACATTTTCTTTGGATCGTAAGGAAAAATTACGACAGGAGCTGAGCCAGTTAAAACACCTTAGATAGGAAGGACTTGATATATTAAATAAGACACAGTAGAGAGCAGAAAGTGTATAAGTATTCCGACGAAGACGGATTCGGTGAGCTTAGTGCGGTATTCTGAGACATGGTCATATTTACAATGCCCAAATATGAATCGTATACAGAGATTTTGGAGTCGCTCAAGTTTGTTAAGTTGCTCCTCGGTATTGTCAAGGTAACAAATGTCACCATGGTCGAGGATAGGGAGTAGTAAAGATTGTGCAAGCGTTATTTTAGTGGCAATGGGTAAAAATTAGTTAAGCCTCCGGAGTGAAGCATTTTGCGGCTCACTGCATTTATTTGGGGAGTCCAAGAAAGATTGGAATCCAAAAGGATACCCAAATTTTTGACAACGTCATTATAAGGGATAGGAACTTCATTAAATATAACGGGTTGTAGATGACTTTTTTTTATTTGAAAATCATTCTTTAACTTCCTATAATAATGGCTTGGGATTTTAAAGGGTTCACCGTTAGCCCTTAAGAACGACACCAGTCGAGAATACATGTTAGATCTTTATTGATACATTCCACTGCTTTGGGAAGATCTACAATAGTTGTTTGTAAGAATATATGAAGATCATCTGCATATAAGTGGTAGAGAGAACATATTTAGGATGTAATCGTATTAATAAAGATTGCGAATAAAACAGGAGATAAGACGCCACCTTGTGGAATGCCAGCTACTGTATCAAGCCACGAAGAAAGTCTATCTTGGACACGAATACGTTGCCTGCGCCCATACAAATAACTATGAAACAAGAAAATTGCAGTTGGAGATATGTTAAGAGAACACAAAATCCCTAACAGGGTGTCATGATCAACAGTATTGAAGGCATTGCTGAAATCTAGCAACACCAATAATGTGACTTGATGATTTTTCATATCGTGGCGAATGTCATCTGTGATTTTCAATAATCCGGCGTTCTAAGAACAAAAATAAGAAGGTTACTAATGATATAGAAGACGAAAAAAAAAGATTTTCTCAGTGACCAGATTAAGAGTGGAGAAGTAGACCATACAAGTACCGAAACAAAATAGTGATAATGAGTCTGAAAACATTAAAAGAAAAGTAATAGTAGTAGAAGCTTTAGTTCACCAATCTCCTAAGCTCGCCAAGATTTCTGCTGGTGAAGTAAGCAACGCTTTTGAAAATCAAGTCGTGGCAGAAGATATGATCCAAGAAATAGAAGTTGTAAATGAAGAAAGCCCAGACTTAGACATAGGTAGTGAAGTGATTTAAATGAGTGAAGAAATAATAGAAGAATATATAGTAGATGATGCATGTGGTGATTTAAAGGGCGTGACGACCGACAAGTGTGGGGACTTTAAAAAAAGAGACTTTAAAGCCCCAAAAATAAAATAGGGTACATATTGTGTCTTTAGAGAAGAAGGTAGTTTGTTCTCAGGAAGGATAAGGACAAAAAGTTAGATCATTTTCAAATTTTGATTCAAAATTACCAAAAACTCATGATAACTTTGAATTTGTGTTTTAGAGGAATTTCTAGGTAGCTCTGTTTTTTTTTTTGTAAATTTATTGTGTTGGAAAAATAAACCAACCCAGAAGAACACTATTTATTAAACACTAATATCACACAATAACACAATAACAACACTTTTTATAATAACAATATTTATTCAATAAAATAAACATGTATAAATATAAATCAGATTGTAATATCACAAATACTGTAAAAAATGTTCAAAGTTACTCTTAATCGAACGTATTTATATTTCATATTTTTATAAAATGTTTTGCTGGGGAAATAAAAATGGGGACACGGAGTATATAATGGCTGCTTTATTTTTTATATAAATGTTAATTTTAATAATTACAAACATTTTATAATTAATAAATAAATACTTTACAGAAGTTTATTTTAAGATTTGAATTAAATATGATTGTAAACTTAATAATTCAAGTAAGGAAACTTGTAGGAATCCGTTAAATAAGATTATTGTTTAATGGCCAATAAGTAACTGTAATTAATTTTTTAAAGTAATCATCTTCAAATGTTTTGCTGGTGAAATAAAAAACGGAGACACGGAGGACAAAATACATTTTTTGTTGGTGTTAGTTGATTACTTCTTTCTTGATTTTGTAATTTCAAGGGTGGAGGAGTTATGTCACAATTAACATACGATGAGGCTACTCTCTCTCTTTCATCTGTCCCTGACTTATTATGTGTTTAGCAGCATGGATGTTAAAAAATAATGACCTTAACAGAGAAAAGTCAAATGCGCAGGAGATATTAAAGTGCACCAAGTGTCTGAGGATACAGATGCATTCTCTATTCTCTCAATCTTGGATGTTAAGAAAACGGTCACCCACGGTCCATGGACTGACCGTGGCAAGTGCAACTTAATCTCGTTATTCCCGTTAAATCTTTGAACATTTCACTACATCAATCAACATGACAGAGTTTTTGGGCCTCTCAAATTATGAGGTATCCACCGGGCGCAAAGTTTCCTGACCGCTAAATGTTCATGGAGGATTTTGTGCACTTGACTCATACCAATGCCTAAGTTTGTCCAAATCTGCTGATAAGTCACTCTTTTGTTAGTTAGAGTTCATACGCCGCACATCACAGTCGTCGCCGTAGAAGGCCGTCTCTCGCGCAGATCATCGGTGAGATTAGTGCAACCACGTTTAAACTTATTAAACCAGTTGTAAACAGTGGCACGAGATGGAGCTTTCTCGTGAAAGGTCAATCGAAGTCTATCATAACTTTCCTGTTGATTAAATGACATCGAAAATCATAAAAAAATCTAATCCAAAAAGCCCTCGTATGTAAAGGTTTCGAACCCACAGTCTGCTTTCGTATTGTTTAAGAAACGAGGTTCTATATGAGCAAAATATTTAACTTGTTTTCAGATGCCAAGGACTAAAGAGATTTTGAGGGAGCTGGATTTAAGCAAGTCATTAGAATTGACCCTTAAGAAACTTAAGCTTTACAAAAGATATAGGAAAAATTTGAGCGAAAAGAAATAAAATTAAGAAATAGTTTAGTTTAGTTTAGTTTACGACGGGCTGTTTTCCGCAACTCCACGTCTATGCGCGTATTTTGCGTGTGGGCAGGAATAATGTGATTATTCGAGCCATGAGATCTCCTCGAAGAAGCTCAACAGTCCCTTGATGTTGCATGCAATTTCTGGGAGTGATCCCGGCGTGTCGAGATGTTTAGCCCTGTAAGTAGCGACCTCCGTACATTTCAGTAGCACGTGGGCCGCCGTTTCTTCCTCCCCCATACATGCCCTGCACAGGGGACTATCTGTAACACCTATAGTAAATAAATGTTTGTTAAAGGTGCCGTGTCCTGTGATAGCACTTGTTACTATCCTGATCTGCGGCTTGTTCAGTCTCATTAAAACTTCGGTTAAGCGACTGTTTATTTCAGGCAGGGCCTCCCTAGCTTGTCTACAGTCTACTAGATTTTTCCAAAGCTGAGCGTGTTGATTAGTGAAGTGTCTACGTACCAGTGAACTGTTGCATATTATAAAATGTGGTGGGTAGTTTTAGCCGGTAAGCGCGCGTTGTATTTCCGTCGCCAGTTCAAATAAATGCCTGTACTCGACGCACGCCTTTTATTTATAAATGGCGACGAGGATAAAACTTGGTTCGGTGTGGAATAGTTTTGTTTGATCGTGTCGTAGACAATAGTCGCAACAATGTCTGTAGGCAAAATCAAGGACTTTGATGTGATGCATATGTGGATCGGTTAGAAATGTATTTTGTGGTTAATAAAATAACGGACGATTTAAAGTTACCAACTTTAATACCAATTGTTGTCTACGTTGGCGAGTCCTAAGAAGCCGTCAAGTCTATCGTATGCGGTCGCGGTGGATCTACTGCGTGCACACCTGCAACCGACATCATCAATCCTGGCAGAACGGTACAGATTTCGTCAAAGACGGCAAGTAGCAGGCGAATCGATAGCGAACTACGTGGCGGACTTGAAAAAGATGGCTAGATATTGCGAGTTTAAAACTAACTTAGAGGAAAACCTACGAGATCAGTTTGTGTGCGGTCTGCGGAGTGATTTTATTCGACAGAGGTTATTTGCAGAAAATGATCTTGATTATAAAAAAGCGCTACAGTTAGCTAATACCCTAGAGGCAACCGAGCGGGATGCGGGAGCTGTGGAGGGCTCGCTGGAACAAGATCCGGACCGGGAACTTAGCGAGAAGATACATAAGTTAGGAAACAGAAATTGTTCAGCGTGCGGGGCGACGAACATAGCTCACAAAACTGCAGGTACAAAAATTTTTAATGCAGTTACTGTGGGAAAAAAGGCCATTTGCGAAGAGAAGGAATTCGATCGTCGTATGACATGGGATAATTCAAATTCAAACGGTGCGCGAGGAAGGTCACGCAGAGGTCGCGCGCTCGGCCACAGCGCGGACGGCGGGAAGCAGCGCCGCGGGGCGGGGCCGGCGGCGGCACGCGGTATGCATATGGATACCTGTTCGAGCGAGCGCTAGCGCGGGCACCCACGCTGCGGCCGGTGCGGCACACTGGTTGAGCGGGCCGGCGACGGGTGACGTCTCTGAGGATGATCAGAACGCGTCTGATGACGGCTAGGAACCGATGTATCAGATGTCTTTAGCGAAGTATAGACCGGTGTGTATGAACATAATTATAAATAATAAACCCTTAAAAATGGAAGTCGATACAGGGTCGGCATTATCTTGTATAAGTTATTCAACATACATTAAATTATTTAAGGAGTTACCTTTAAAAACGTGTAAATTAAAATTAAAATTTTACGATGGTTCAACTATTTATCCGATAGGGTACTTGGAGACAAATGTTGGGTATAATAAAAATGTAAAACAGTTAGATTTATATGTAATAAATAAGGGTAGCACTAGTTTATTAGGAAGACAGTGGCTGTCTGAATTGTGTATAAAAATACCTAAGCTAAGAAGTGTACAGAAATACATAATATGGTACCATGTAAAAATAACTCGCTTAATGATATTATCTCCAGGCATGAGAATCTATTTGACGGCACATTGGGCAAGTATACTGGTGAAGAGGTCAAGCTGCACGTGCGCGAGGGAACGCAGCCGATTTATTGCCGCGCGCGACCCGTGCCGTACGCGCTACTTCCGCGGGTGGATGCAGAGTTGGACGCCATGCTGCGCGCAGGCGTCGTCGAGCCGGTGGACCGCTCGGACTGGGCCACGCCGTTGGTTATAGCGAGGAAGGCGGACGGCGGAATACGAATGTGCGCGAATTAGAAGGTGACACTGAACAAAGCTTTGTTGGTCGATAGGTACCCGGTTCCAAAGGTAGAAGATTTATTTTGTGGTTTGAGTGGTAATCGTTACTTCACCAAGCTAGATCTTTCACAAGCATATAATCAGTTACTTTTAAATGAAACGTCTAGAAACTACACTGTTATTAATACGCATAGAGGACTGTTTAAATACATCCGCCTAGTGTATGGTCTCGCTTCTAGTCCCGGAATTTTTCAAAAGATAATGATAAATCTCTTTAAAAATGTGCCAGACGTGGTTGTGTTTTACGACGACATACTAATAAAAAGTGGGATTCGCACTTAAAATGTATAAAACAAGTATTTAGTATCTTGGAAACTAACGGATTAAAAATAAAAAAATAAAAATGTGAGTTTATGGCTACGCAAGTAAAATATTTAGGATTCATAATATATAACAAGGGTGTTCGAGTCAACCCGGAAAAGTTAAAGCCTATTTTAGGTATGCCTCATCCAACTAATATATCAGAATTAAAATCGTTTTTAGGCATTGTTAATTTCTATGGGAAATTTATAAAAAAATTAAGTACTCATATTACCCCTCTTTATGACTTATTAAAAAAGGGTAAACATTGGAGATGAACAATGTCACATACAAAGTGTTTTGATAAAATTAAAAAGCTTTTGTGTAGTGCGGAAGTGTTGACACATTTTGATATGTCGTTAGAGAGCATAGTAACATGCAATGCCAGCTCGTGTGGGCTCGGCGCGGTGCTAGCGCAGCGCGCGCCCGCCGGCGTTGGCGAGCGGGTGGTGGCGTATGCGTCGCGCGCGCTCACCTCCGCTGAACAACACTATAGTCAGATTCATAAAAAAGCCCTCGCGATAGTATTTGCAATGGACAAATTCCATCAATATTTATTTGGTAGAAAGTTCACTTTACGTACGGATTATAAACCGTTAGTCACAATCTTTGGACCGCAGGCGGGTATTCCCAACACGGCGGCTAGTCGACTACAACGCTGGGCTATTAAGTTATCCGCTTATGATTTTAATATAGAATACATTCGCACGGACAAAAATACAGCAGATGTTTTGTCTAGGTTGATTAGTGAGCATCGCAGCGTTGATAAGTGGACGACAGGGACAATAATAGAGAGGACAGGTAGTACGGATTACAAAGTCAGATCTATCACTGGAACTGAGGAACACATACATATCGACCAACTAAAGCGAAGAGTGTCAAACAATGTAACCAAAATAGTAAACTTAACACGTAATAATAATAACAATCGTAACAGTCACACAATACGCGAATCACCTGTAAAACGATTCCGCCCTTCGCTAATGTTTCCAGTAAACAACGACAAACAGTCCGACGCGCCAGTTAAAAGGCCAAGCGCGGCCGTACCGGAGGGCGCATCGCCAAACCCAACCGACGACACTGACACTAAAGGCAACTTCGCCAACGTCTAACGTGCCCAATGTGCAGGAAATAGATAATCATGGCTGGAACAACAATGTCACTAATGAATCGCGTGGTGTTCGCCGTGTATGTAAACCAGTCAGACGATATGGTATAGATGATTGTTACAAGTAATAATTTAAAAATTGAAAGAGAGAAATTGTATGTAATATTTATTTGAGTAGTAGGTTCATTGATATTATTTTCTTAGGTAGCATATTTGTAACAATATAAAGTAATTATGTTTAAGTATAACTTATGTTCTTATTCATTATGTATAGTACAAAATAAGGGTGGAGGTGTTGCATATTATAAAATGTGGTGGGTAGTTTTAGCCGGTAAGCGCATTGTATTTCCGTCGCCAGTTCAAATAAATGCCTGTACTCGACGCACGCCTTTTATCGTTACGAACGTTACCAAAGGGGATTGGTATGATTGGTTCCGGCCCTATAGTGGCCAGAGCCGATCCTCTTCTGGCCAGTTCGTCTGCTGCATCGATGCCTCTGGATCCACTGTGTCCCTTTATCCATTGCAGAGTCACATTGTTGTTTTTACGTACCTCATTTAATCGTTGATGGCTTCATATATTAGTCCCGAGGTCACCACATTGCAACTCAGAGCTTGTAGTACCGCCCTACTGTCGGTCAGTATTCTGATGGGGAAGTCATTAATCTTCCTAGCATCTATTGCTATGGCCGCTTGAATGATACCCACACATTCCGCCTGAAAGACCGTGTTATAGGTATCCAGCGGTGTGCATATGTGAATATTGAGGTCTTCAGAGAAAGCTCCAGAACCTACAACTTCATTTGTTTAAGAACCATCGGTGAAAACTCTAAGCTCTTTTGGGCTTAATCCTTCCGGCTGGCTGTTTTCATTTAATTGTATCTTGTATTTCTTATCGAAAACAAATTGTTTAGGAATCTTATCGTATTTGGCTTGTAGGATAGGAATTTTTGAGAGAATTCTATCAATTATGCCTGTATGAGGGACACTATTCTTACTCCAAAGATTTAGGGTCTTGAGTCTGATGGCAGCTAAAGTCGCTTCTTGTTGTATATGTAGATGAAGCAGGGTTAGTTTTAGCATCGCTTCTAAGGCTGCTGTGTGCGTAGTTCTTATGCAGCATGTAGCAGCCATACATACCAGTCTTTGGTAGCGCTGAAGCTTCTTAATTGTGGTGGCTTCATTTGTCTTGGTCCACCATACCAGAGCGCCGTATGTGATCATGGGCCGAATTACAGTTTTGTAAAGCCACAGTATGATTTTTGGCGTCAGTCCCCATCTTTGGCCAATCATGTTTCTGCATTGCCAGAAAGTTATACTAGCTTTATTGATTTTGTTTTCTATGTGTTTATTCCAGTTAAGTTTGCTGATCTAAATATTTTACCTCAGAGGATAGCTGGAGTTTTGTGCTGAAAAGACTTGGAAGATGATAGTTATTCAGCATTCGTTTTTGTGTGAACATTACTAAAACCGTTTTATTTGGATTGATGGTTAAGTCATATTCCTTGCACCATCTCTCCACTATACGGAGAGCCGCTTAGGTCAGGTCGCACACTATGCTTGCTGTCTTTCCAGAGACCAGTATTGTCAGGTCATCAGCATAACCAACTATATAGAAGTAATTGGCATTTAATTTGCTGATGAGTTCATTAATGACCATATTCCACAGGAGAGGTGAGAGAACCCCACCTTGCGGGCAGCCTTTCTTAATTTGGATTGGTTGAGATTCACCAGCAATCTTTATTATTCATGTACTGAGAATGTAAACTATCCAGTCGATCAGTCCCGGTTCAACTTTATGTCTACTGAGTGCACCTTTTATGCCGGAGAAGTTCGTTGTGTCAAAAGCACCTTCTATATCTATGAAGGAACCTAGACATATTTCTTTGTTTTGGATGGCCTCTTCAATCTTTGTAATTACCTGATGAAGTGCCGATTCCGTTGATTTGCCTAGACTGTAGGCGTGTTGCTTGTCGTGTAGTGGTAAGTTCATTAGCGCCTACCCCCTTAATTCCCTTTCACACATCCTCTCCATCGTCTTTAGGAGAAAGGATGTGAGGCTAATGGGCCTGTAAGATTTAGGGTCAGTGTAGTCGCTCTTACCTGGTTTGGGTATGAATGTGACTTTCACTTCCCTCCAACCCCTAGGAACATGTTTAAGAGCCAGAAAGGCTCTTATTATGGCAACAAGGCTGACTTTTAGGGCTTTACCCCCCCACTGTAAGAGAGCCGGGAATATGCCGTCAGGTCCTGCCGCCTTATAGGGGAGGAAACTGTGAATGGCCCAATGGATTTTGTCCATCGTTACCACTCTCTGTGCTAAATTCCAGTCTTCTGCTGTTGGTGTCAGTATGTCGTCATGCCGGTTTGCCTCCTGGGTTACGCAGCAACCTGGGAAGTGTGTTTCAATTAGGATGCGTTGGGCTTCTTCCGGCGATGTTGTGTAGCTACCGTCGGGTTTCTTTAGAGACATGGATCCCGACGTGTTCTGTTTAGCTAGAATATTCCTTATCCTATTTGCTTGTTCGCAGGTTTCTATGTTGCCACAGAATTTACGCCACCCAGTCGAGCGTCGATACCTGATACATTTTTTGTATTCAGACTTAGCTTTCTTGTATAGTAGCCAGTCTTTATCCATTGAGGTATTCATGGCCCTATTTAGGTCTTTTCTTACCTTCTTACGTTTCCTATCGAGTTCTTTACCCCACCACGGTAGCTTTACGTTGCTTCACGGTTGATTCATGGTAGCTATCTATCATGGCCTTAGTAACAGCTGCTACCTGTTCTTCTAGGAGCGACTGATCTGATATAGTATTTATCCCCTCAAAACCTGCGAGCGAAGACGTCAACCTATTTAGGTATTTTGTTTTATCCGTCTTGCGGGGATTTCTCCATGGTGGTGTAGAGGGGATATCGACCTGTAGAGCGAAGCAGATCCATTTATGGTCTCAGCATGAGGCCAAGAGGCCTCATGCTGAGGCTCCAAACTAATTACGGGATGGCATGTGTCGATCTTTCGATTTTTCTTCCGATATATTTCCCGTAATTAGTTTGGATCCTTCTGTTGCAAGTGTGAGGTCGATTATAGTGCGACAGCGTTTGCTTATGAAAGTAGGTTCAGAACCTATGTTTAAAATGGTTAGATTAGTACTAAATAAATATTCAACTAAAACCTTACCTCGTTCGTTTGGTTTTTCCATTCCCCAAAGGGGATGATGTGCGTTGGAGTCCGTCCCGATCACAACCTCTAGTCCGGTCCTCTTGCAGAAGTTCATCAGCCTGCCGAGGTCATGAGGGGGAGGAGTGTCTTCCTCCGGCATGTAGACCGAGGCGACGACTAATCTCCTCGCCTGTGTGTATTGTATTGCCACGGCATACATGTCTCTAGAACACAAATCTGTTAATGGTTGTGCACAGATATCTATAGTAGTGTAAATACACGCTCTAGGCTTGTCGTGTTCAGAGCTGTAGAATAGCTTACCTTTTAGGTTGTTTAGGCCTTTAATTTTACAAGCCCCAACCCACGGCTCCTGGATTAAGGCTATGGTCCTTTGAACCTCCAACCACTTGGGCAATTGAGCCGACGCAGTTTCGCTGTGGTGGAGGTTGGCCTGCACTAGGCTAGTTTTGGACGAAGGGCACGCCATCATTGATCGCGACCTCCCGTCCCCGCCCAAAAATAGGCCTGCCAGAAGATCGCGGGCCTCATCGTCAGCCACCGAGTCGGAAATGGTCGGCAAAATGCAGTCCTCTTCGTCACTCAGTGAGCTGCCGCTGAGCCCGGTCTCCACTGGGGGCTTCGGCTCAATTGTGCAGGCTGTTTTTTCACTGGACTTGGCCTCCAGTGATTCCGCTGTACCGGTAACCATGGCTCCGGTATCCATAACTTCCGGGTTGTTTTCTACCTCTTTGCTCGGTGGAGTGTAAAAGAATTTACCTCCACGACCCTGGAATTTCACGTATACCGCCCCGCATACACATGCGAGACGGCGTCCGGCCTTCATCAGGGTCGGTAATGATTCTCCGGCACCGAAACAACGAGGAACCACCCGTCCGTCTGCTTATCAGCCTTGAGTAACAGCCAGTCCCTGATGTTGACCCATCGGTTCTGGTACGCCAGCATGCGACCAATGTCGCGTGAGTCTTTCTAGGCTTGTTACGGCCTACGGCTGCTCCCATAAAGATCAAATCCTCTGGGGCCCATTCAGCAGAGTTTCAACGAACAGACGTAAGTCGGGCCTCCTAAAGACAAGCAGTCCTATGCTCATATTTCAACTAATTTTTCAAAAGTATCAATGTTCAACTACAGAATTAATTCAACCAAATTAATCACCGATGCACATAGGTAAACTTGCAAATTAAACAAAACAATAAACGTAAGAGACAGCCCTATTTCTCATTTCAAATAAGTATCTTAGACAGTGCCTACAAATGCGAAAACCAACGGAGGAACGACTCCTTATTCCTTTCGGCACCAATAGGGTTATCTAATTTCAGCCTTCATTTTCACAAAGCAAAATGATTAAACACTATCACAAAACATATACACAATTTTCCAAATAGCGCGACATTCAATTTCAAATGAATTCAAACTTTCCTTTCAGCAAACAGACGCAAAAATCAAACACAGTGGTTAAATATATTTACAAAACATATGCAGCAGCATTTAAGGGAGTAGATTAAATTCAATTCTTTTTAATTTAAACCGCTACAAATAGGAAAATTTCGCGGAAAGCCCAAAGCAATTTTTAATTTTAATTCAAGTATTTTTTTGACTAAGTGCTCGACCAAACCAAATCTAATACCCCTTGACAGCGTGATTCAACGCTCCAGGGGGGCCCTAATCTTCCCACCACCAAGGGGAGGCCACATGGCGTGAACCCGCGATAAATAGAGCACAACCTCTAACAGTTGCCACTCGGGTTGTACGCCTTCACTGAGGCCGTCGGCAACAGAACATTTTGACAAGTGGACTGTTGACGACTTAAGGCTCAGTGGAGGCGGCCGTGGTGGGAGCTAAGGCGGCAGCTAGACAGGGCCGCCTCCATCAAATGGGGAACAGTGGTACACCAGTCGCGGCCACTCAGCTAACGGGAGTGAGAAGGGTCCAGCGGACCGATGAGTGACCGTGAAGTTCCTCTCCACACGCTGAGGGGGGGTTGATGACACCTCCGTCCCTGGAGGAATTACCCGAGAGATTACCCTGAGTGACCCTTTTTTTGGCCTGGTGGCTGGCCGGCGGGCGCCGAGAGTCGCCCGTCAGAGGGCGTGGCTGAGCGCCCCCGCCCGTGGGGGTCGACGGCCTGGCAGAGCCCCGAGAGGAGACGCCGTTCGCAACCCAGGCACAAAACTGCATGGTGCTTGCCCTGGCAATGCAGACAGAACCGCCGATGCGGACAGTGGACTCGCTGGAGGTGCCCTCCCAAACATGAGCAGCACCAGCGGCGCTCCTTGGCGATAGTTCGCCTCGCCGGAACCGGCTTACATAATAATTTCGGCCACGACGTTACCCGGTGATCAGATGCTCGACAATAGGAGAAGGGGGGGGGGGGTTGACGACGACTTGCCTGGCGGATTCAGCCTCTCACTGGGCACGGCTCGTAAGTCGTCAACGGTGCCCGCCGCGTTCTCGATCTGCCAGCACTGCTCCTCCAAAAACCGCAGCAGGTCATAGAAGGGCGGAATATAGGAGGCCTCGTCCCCGCCGTACCTCCCCTCAAAATGGATTCGAAGGTCGAGAGGTAGACGGGACAGCACGATGCGGAGCAACAAAAAAGCCCATTCGCGCACTGGTAAATCCAGCCGCCTCAACGTATTACAGGCCACCAAGACTGGATCCAACAGGTCCGGACGTAGTCTGGCCCGGTCACTAGGCAGCGGGAGGCTTAGAGGCTGCTTAACATGTTCGTCCGCAATTCGCCGGACGTTGGCGTATCTTCTGGCTAGGAGGTCCCGAGCAGTCTGGTAGGCGTCGTCTGACAATCTCAAGTGGCCGACGACGCCCAGGGCCTCCCCCTCCAGTGAGGCCAGGAGGTACGCCATCTTTTAGCTCGGGGTCAAGTCACTCCGGGCGTCCACTAGGCCGTCGAAAAGACCAACGAAGGTCAGCCATTCGGAAAGGACCCCGGAGAACCGTGGCAGGTCCAGAGTTGGGAGCCGTCCCAACAGGAGCTGTTGGGACGGCTCTCAACAGCTCGGCTGAAGCTGCTTCCGAGAGGACTCGGGCAGGCCACTCATCCGAGCTTCACGCGCCTCCTCGGCATACCTGCCTTCAGCCTCGATCAACTCGTCCGTGAGCGACAAGAACTGCTCGTAGTCCGCGAAGCAGGAGTCCAGGACTCCCTTTTCCACATCCGAATCCTCGAGCTCAGCGTAAGCCTCCTCCACTGCGGCTCTTCGAGCATCGACCTGCTCGAACCGCTTCATCAAGTTATGGACCCTATCCGGTCGACCTATCAAAGCATGGGCGCTTGTGGCCCAGCGTAACTCAGTCCGCAGGCAACGGATTAGTAGCTTGGGCGATGACATCACTACTAAATACAAATTACGACGCGGCTCGAGCACAATTTACAAAGATAACAAATAACAAGTACAACAAAAAATTAACAGTTAACAAATGCAGTTCCTATCAAATCGAGTTGAATAGAAATTACACAAATACGAATTACTACTTATCAAAACAAATACAAGTTAGCACAAAAGAAAAGACACAAATCAAATTAACAAATAACAAATACTAGTGCGATCAAATCAAATTAAATTCAAATGGCGCAAATACAAAGTACTACTCTTTAGTTCAAATACAAATTACAATACAAACGAAGATACACATCACGGTCGATCAACAAAAAAAAACCTAGCTCGGAAATCGACCCTTCGATAAGTAATCCACTACTACTATCGGACAACGATAATTAACCGATTACGGGATAATAACCATCTACCTACATGACGTATACCTCTAGAAAAACTCCCGCTTGCGCACTAAACGGGCGCGGCTTTTCAAATCTACCCGATAACCAAATAAGCAAGCAACAAAGGAAAATAATTTTATTATTACGTACAAAAAAATATTTTTACGTATTACGGGCGGGATTGTAGACACAAAATTAAACCAATCAAACCAACGCTCCCTGCCACCAGAATTGTTTAATTTTTATCAAACACTATGGTCGGGATCGACCGGGGAATCGAACCCGGAACCGCGCTCTGCTACCAGTTTGTTACAGCCTACGGCTGCTCCCATAAAGTTCAAATCCTCTGGGGCCCATTCAGCAGAGTTTCAACGAACAGACGTAGGTCGGGCCTCCTAAGGCCAAAGTGGAAAATCTATAATAACAATAAACTATATGGGGGAGCGTTCTATACTACTGCCCTTCAACGGGGAGAATATTAGACGGAGTTTACTTACCTATATCCAAGGCAACTGTTCCCTCAGGATTCGGTCAGGTTACATGTGGTTGTGTGGTGCAAGGGAAATAAGGTGCGGTGATGTGTATCTAGGTGTGACTGGTGGTGATTGACCTTATTAGACCTTGGCCGTCGGCAGCAGCCCGGACGTCAGCACCGCTCCAAATTGAGGTAATCTTCCGCGGTGCCGTCCACAGTCACTTTCTTCGTTCGTCACGATGACAGCCCATTAACTCTATCGTACTATTAACTAACTTACAGAAGCCACTAACTCTCGTTGTTATAAAGCTTAACACACAAAACGAACAGGGAGTGTCCGGATCAAAAGTCACTACCGTTTCGCGTAGCAACAGTTATTTCTAGAATATCAAAGGCCGCATTAGCTAATATTGTCGAATGCACTTATACAGATTCTGAGTCAGACACAATGAGTCCCGGGGAAGCTCTCCAGCAAGGAATGCGCGTTACAAATCCTAGACAGTATATTTACTAGCCGCGCCTAATTATTCCGAGTTCCCGAACAAAAATTGCGTGCTGACGTTAGCACAGCTGGCAAACGATTCGTTTGAACTCGCGCGCGCTCGACACCTCCAAGCTAGCCCGAACGTCAAACCGGTATGGCACCGAGCCGCGCGCCCTCTGACGTCGATTCCGAAACCAACGTTCGGGCGTAAACAAGGCTCCTTGGGCATCAGGGATAAGGGTGGTATCCTTGACATCACATTTGACTCTTTGTGGTATCTCTGACTGTTTCTTTATTGTCAGCAAGGTGTTGGCTTTAAGGTCGAGGGTAGCAATATTCCCCTTCAACCAGTCCAGAGCCTTCTGATCGTCGCACCACAGTTTCAGGACACCCTCCGTATAAACGGGTGTCGTGAAGCGACAATTAAAAAAAAAATAGAACCTAACCTAAGTACAACAAAACAACAAAAGTAGAGCCAGAAAACAATATATTTAAATTTATAAAAGGTATTTACAATTTTATAAAAAAAATGAAATGAGGATGATGATGAATGAAGTGAGAGTACAATTAGATTATAAAAAAAAAATAAAGGTGAGAGAATAGCGGAATATAGTGTTGTAGTGGGGCCTAAAAGTCGAAGCGACACACGTCGCGTTTGTAGAAGTAGGTTTCTTAGCAGCGACGGCACGCAGCGCCTGAAGCCAGCACACGCCGTTTGTGCTTGTAGAGGTAGGTTTTCTTAGCAGCGACGGCGCGCAGCGCCTGGAGCCAGTACACGCAGCGTCCGGAGCCGGCGCACGTAGCGCCTGGAGAAGGGGCGCGCAACGCTTAGAGCCAGCAGTTGCAGCGCCCAAAGGTAGCGCCGGCGGTAGGTGCACTCGGCGCCTGGAGTAGGGAGTAGTAGTGCCCGGGGTAGTGTGGCCCCCGCGCTTGTAGTAGACTCGAAGCGACTTCCGAGGTAGATGGAGGCTTGTAGGATTCCGGAGTGGCGCGGCCCGAGTTTTAAGAAGGCTTCGCCGAAGACTTCACGTGTAAATGGAGGCTTGCAGGATCCCGGGGCAGTGCGGCCCCGGGATAAGGCCTTTAGGAGATACTTCTAATTCGCGAACTGAAGCGAGACTGCCTTTCTTCACCGATTGTTCGGCTTTTATACCTTTCTAGAGAGAACGGAAAAATTATTTAAATTATACGCAAATTTTTTGTAAATGGTCAAGAGAAAAGAGGATTTATGTGGAATTATCGAAATAGGAATAACAGATCGGTAGCAAATTTGAATATAATTACCATGGAAACGATATAAATAAGAAAGACAAAACATGTCAAATTTTTGTTTTTGGTTTATAATAAGAAAACGGTAAGATTTAAGTGGAAAATGAGATATTATTGATGTAGGAAAAAAGGTAGCGCAGCTGCCCACATAAAGCCCAAGATTGTAGAGTTACGGAAAACTAGCTAAAAGATCGAAAAAAGGTAGACTCCATTGACACCAATTTAAAAGTGCTGATAATGTGAAAATACGAAGTAGAAATGATTTGTTATTGTGTTCTTATGGTTTAAAATCGTTACAGGATCCTGTGGAAATAAAGGTGATGTAAAATATCCAGTTTTGAGGTGAATGCAGAAAATCGAAACAGAATGGAAAAATGAATTTAAAATAATGTAAAATGATACGTAAGTAGTATAACACTACACGGGTTTGCCCCTAAAAACTGGGCCCGACGCATCAGGGTCCTGGCTACTCCAGGCTTCGCTGATCATCTTCCCCTGTATTGCCACGAGGATGTCGTCTGCTACTTCCTTCGTCATGTGACTTGAACGCGCACATGTTAAAGCCACACCCAAATCTGCTTTAGCAGCGGAAGCGTAGCTCGTTCTTGCAGCCTTTGGTTGCTGTTCGAGTCGCACTTTTTTGTGTTCCCCTCTAGGCGACGTGGACTCTTCCAGCATACAAGGCTGCTCTTTCCTTCTTCCCAGAACGCTTGGCCGCTCGCTGCTTCCTAGCGGATATCCTAGAAATGGTTCCCGCGGCCGCGACTTCCACTTGGGCTGAATTTTTATCCTTCCTAGCTTCAGCGCGGCTACTGGTTCCAGCGCCAAGCACCCCAGTCGCAGTAGCTTGCCCAGCCTCAAGAAGCAGCCAATGCGGCTCGTTCTCTTCGGCCTTTTTCCCGCTGCTTCTTGTTCTTCTTTTTGGCCTTTACACTACTGCGTGCAGTATAGACCCTCCTGATGGTCCGTCAGGTCCTTGATGGTGCCTTGCCTTTCCCCTTACGGCTCACCACTTGCCAGGCAGCAGAGAAAAGGTCGTCAGTTTGTAGTGGCTTCGCAGTTTTTTTACTCGCGGGCTCTTGTTCTTTTTTCTCGTACAGCTCCTTGGAACTGGTTTTGGAAACGTTCAGCGAGGTAGTTGTCCTTTTGGTGGGGGCACCTACGCTGGACGGTACTGTCCGTGAAACCGTCGGTTTAGTGACGGTTCCCCCTTGTTCTTTGGTGTCTCTTGTAATCACCTCTGACACCTTTCCCTCTTTCTTACTTTGTCTTAAATTGTCCATAATTTTTTGTTCTTTAAAATTCGACCCCCCGGCTTCCCACCCTCGATGAAGCCCGCACCTTTGGGAACACCCTAATTTAAAAAAAGAATTTCAGGCGTTAGGATTACTGAGAGAATATAGGGACGCGAAGTTGGCTCACAGCGCGACATCGGGAGCTCGATCCAGCTGGTAGATGGGGCTGACAAGGCCCATCCCCACCACCCGAATAAACTGTCACTTGCTCCGTCAGCATGGCCTTTACCACCACCCAGCCCCCTTTTCAGGAAAACTAGGCAGCCCCCACATCCCTCGCCAGCGACCCTCTGACGGGGCGCTTGGCCATTTCACTATCTGTGGCTAGCAGATAGGGCCACCGTTTAGCTTGAAATCCGGACCAAAGAGGGCGTGTTGCCTCTCGCCACTATATACTCCAGCGACGATCGGCTCAACCCTCCAGGACTCCTTCATCCCCGCGTACGGCGCTCGACTGCGCAGGTCCTAGCGCAGGTGGGTGTGTTAGTCCACCGGATACACCCACTCTCTCCGACGGAATCGTACCCTCCTCCGTTCTGATCCGGGCTTGGGATCGGCAATGGCGGAGTTAATTAAGAAATAACCACGTGCCTTTTTCAAAAAATTAACTAAAAATAGAAATTTCAAAAGTCTCATGGATAGAAATATATCAGGGCCATTTGCTTATTGTTGCAAACTCAACTGCAAAATACTCCCAGGAAACTGACTGGACGGAGGTAGAGTATAGATGACAAAGTTATGGCTTTAAGCATCTACAAAAGGTGTACTGGCTGCTAAAGACTGCTGAGGCAACTTTTTTGTCAACCAAGCGCAGGTGTACATTAAAAGCATTACTGAATAGAATTCCGATAAAATGCGGTATCAATAGCCAAATATTCGAAACAATTAAAGGAATGACTAAAAATCGAGAAACGGAAGAAAATATGCGCATTTTGGCAATTGACGAAATGTCAATACGAAAAAATTTGTGTGGAGAAACGACGCGCTCTGCCTCGGGCGTTCCCGTAAACAGTCGGCGGCGCGAACGCAGCTTCAAGAGCACTCGGTTTTCTCCAGCTCACCATTCGGTCTAGCTACGCGACGCCGAGAGGCTGCCCGTCTTGCGCCCCGTTCACGCCTACGCGATACGATTATTGTTCGCTCTTAATTGTTATATGTGTCTTTCAATATCTGACTGTTCTCTAACTTTTATAGTTTCGTACTTCTCGCTAATTAGATGTGTCTTGACTATTCTCTTACTTCGTGTTCCTTCTACTCTTGTGTATATTGTAATAAACTATTAACTGTATATGTGTGGTTTAATTCACCATCCGCCACATATATTTGGTGACCCCGCACGTGCGAGTGTAAGGACAGTGTTAAGACTTTAATTTCGCTATTCGTTATTTTCGCCATGAACAATAGCAAATTTGACGCATCGGCAACGACGCTCCCGGAATCGAGCGTATGCCGTGTCGGCGTAAGAGCACCGCCATTTTGGCCTGACGAACCGGCGTTGTGGTTCGCACAATTAGAGGGACAATTTCAACTGGCAAATATCACGGCAGACAATACGAAGTTCAATCATGTGATCTCTAATTTAGACTATAAATATGTAATGGAGGTGAAAGACGTGATTACTAACCCGCCGCCGGAAAACAAATATGAAAAAATTAAGACCGAGCTTATAACAAGATTATCAGCATCCCAAGAACAACGAGTTCGACAACTATTGGCGCACGAAGAACTTGGAGACCGGAAACCGTCCCAGTTCTTACGGCATCTAAGAAATTTAGCGGGTAACGACGTTCCAGATGAATTCCTAAGGTCACTTTGGACAAACCGATTGCCTAACCATATCCAGGCTATTATCGCAACGCAAGCAGGTACCAGTTTAGACGCCGTGGCACAATTGGCTGACAAGGTCAACGAGGTCATGTTCCCGCCGCAGGTACAACACGTGGCTTCAACATCGACGATCGCAGCGCCATCTGAGTTTGACGATTTGAGACGTCGCTTGGATGACCTATCCCGCCAAGTAGCTTCTCTGACTATGCATCGTGCGCGTTCAAGATCACGAGGGCGTACTTCTAGTTACCGTAAACGTTCACGTAGCCGTTCTGCTGCCACCCATGACCAGTGCTGGTATCACTGGAAGTTTGGAAGCTCAGCTAACAAGTGTAGATCGCCGTGTAAGTTCTCCGGTTCACAACCGGGAAACACCAAAGGCAGTCAGTGATGGCGGCCAATGACTGCCATACTTCAGGCCGCTTGTTTGTTACGGACACTAAGACGAAAGTGTGTTATTTAGTGGACACCGGGTCAGATCTGTGTGTATATCCGCTGGGCATGCTACGCAGTAAGCGCCTTTTAAAGACTAATTATGAACTTTTTGCAGCTAATGGGTCTACCATTGCTACCTACGGCTGGGTGGATTTAGTGCTAGACTTTGGACTACGCCGTGCTTTTAATTGGCGCTTTGTTATAGCTAATGTTACGAAACCAATTATAGGCATAGACTTTTTAGCATTTTATAATTTACTTGTTGATGCTAGACACCATAGGTTAATAGATAATACAACCTCTTTCGTCGCTAAAGCATCTCCTGTTGCATTATCTGCTTTATCCCAAATTAAGACATTTACAGGCATTTCACGCTTCTATGATCTGCTAGCACAGTACCCGGAGATCACACGCCCAGCAGGCTGTCACGCTGCGCGTAAGGTGAAGCACAACACCGTGCACTACATCCGCACCACGCCTGGACCACCGGTCACCTGCCGTCCACGCCGATTAGCACCTGACCGTCTGCGCATCGCAAAAGAAGAGTTTGAAGAGATGGTAAGATTAGGTATTGCTAGACCCTCCGACAGCTCGTGGTCGTCACCTCTGCATCTCATCCCAAAGAAAGACAACACGTGGCGTCCATGCGGTGACTATCGGGCGTTAAATGCACGCACGATACCCGACCGCTATCCAATTCGACACATCGGAGACTTCTCACACAATCTCTTTGGCTGCACCATCTTCAGCAAAATAGATCTGGTACGTGCTTATAACCAAATACCAGTAGCACCTGAGGATGTACCTAAAACTGCCATTGCAACTCCGTTTGGTCTGTTCGAGTTTCCTTACATGGGCTTCGGAATGTGCAACTCGGCGCAAACATTCCAGCGTTTTATGGATGAAATTCTAAGAGGTTGTGATTTTGCATTTCCTTACCTTGATGACATTTTAGTAGCATCTAAAAACATAGAAGATCACGAGCGGCACTTACGATCTGTCTTCGAGCGCCTCAAAGAATATGGTGTGCTAATCAACAGCTCAAAATCAATCTTTGGAGTACCTGAAGTGGAGTTCTTGGGCTTTATTGTAACCGCCGAAGGAACGAAGCCAACACCAGATAAGGTCAGTGCTATTTTGAATTATCCACTTCCGAAGAACATAAAAGAACTCCGCAGATATCTTGGCATGTTGAACTTCTACCGCCGCTTTGTACCTAATGCAGCTAAAGTACAGGCACCTTTAAATTGCCTCCTCTCAGGGACGTCTCTGAAGACCACTACACCAATCAATTGGACAACCGAACTAGAAAAAACATTTGAGGAAAGTAAGGAAAGTATAGTTAAAGCGACTCTGTTAGCACACCCTGACCCACGAGCACGCTTAGCCATCGTCACTGATGCCTCCGACAGTGCTATAGGCGCAGTGCTGCAGCAGAAATCTGGTTCAGAATGGATTCCTCTAGGATTTTTCTCAAAGAAACTGAACAACGCTCAACGTAAATACAGCCCCTACGATAGAGAGTTGCTAGCAATATACGAGAGCATAAAATATTTTAGGTATATGGTCGAACTTAAGCCATTCACTGTGTTTACCGATCATAAACCCATCATCTCCGCCTTTAAGAAAAATTCGGACAGCTACTCACCTAGGCAATTTCGATACCTAGATTATATCGCCCAATTTACAACTGACATTCGCTACATTTCAGGAGAGAACAACGTCGTTGCAGATGCCTTATCTCGAGTAGATAACATAAGCAGTACAGTCAACTTGGAGGATGTACGTGCAGCACAGGAAGCAGACGACGAACTGCCGCATCTTCGCCATCATACATCTTTGAAGATTAAGCAGTTAGACCTATCTGGCACCGGAATGAAACTCTACTATGATGTATCTGGTATGTCTCCACGGTTATATTTACCTAAAACGTTACGACGCCAAGCTTTTGATACGATTCATGGCCTGAGTCACCCAAGTGCGAGAGTCATGATTAAGCTGATGACAGCAAGATACGTATGGCCTAATATTCGAAAAGACTGTCGACAATGGGCACGTACCTGTGTTGATTGCCAGCTCTCAAAGGTATCACGGCATACACGATCCCCAGTACACGCTTTTGCTTTACCAACTAGCAGATTCGCTCACGTGCATGTGGATCTGATCGGACCTCTGCCTATCTCCAAAGGATATCGGTACTGCTTAACTGTTGTTGACCGGTTTACACGATGGCCAGAAGTGATGCCACTAGAAGACATAAAAGCTGAAACCGTAGCCAACGCATTCGTCAGAGGTTGGATATCACGATTTGGCTGCCCTCTAAAGATAACTACAGATAGAGGCAAGCAATTTGAGTGTTACCTTTTTAAAGAGCTTTCCAAATTAACAGGCACACATCACATCACCACCACTGCTTATCACCCGGCAGCAAACGGACTCGTGGAGCGGTTCCACCGGCAGCTGAAAGCAGCCATCATGTGTCATGCTGAGCAAAGTTGGTATGAAATCCTTCCATTAATTCTTCTCGGAATACGGAGTTCATGGAAAGAAGATATCGCATCCTCGTCGGCAGAGCTTGTATATGGCGAGGCTATAAGATTACCAGGCGATTTTTTCGACTCTACTCCCACAGCAGTCGTAGATTATAATGACTTCCTATCACGATTACGACACTATATTCAAAACTTAAAGCCGACAACGGTAACACGACATGGTTCAACAAAAGTTTTCGTACACAAAGACCTACGTAAATCATCACACGTGTTTCTAAGACACGACACCATAAAAAAAGCTTTACAGCCACCTTACGCTGGACCTTTTAGAGTGGTAGAACGTAGTGATAAAACATTTAAAATTGATCTTAATGGTAAAATCACAACTGTTTCCATTGACAGACTTAAGCCTGCTTACCTGCTTACCGACACACCAGAGAGCTCGCAGAAGAGTAAGCTGTGTCCACCAGAAGAACCTCCCTCCTACACCACCAGATCCGGCAGAAGAGTGAGGTTCACTAATTTCTATCGACCGTAAAGGTCTCCGGGGGGGCTGATGTGGAGAAACGACGCGCTCTGCCTCGGGCGTTCCCGTAAACAGTCGGCGGCGCGAACGCAGCTTCAAGAGCACTCGGTTTTCTCCAGCTCACCATTCGGTCTAGCTACGCGACGCCGAGAGGCTGCCCGTCTTGCGCCCCGTTCACGCCTACGCGATACGATTATTGTTCGCTCTTAATTGTTATATGTGTCTTTCAATATCTGACTGTTCTCTAACTTTTATAGTTTCGTACTTCTCGCTAATTAGATGTGTCTTGACTATTCTCTTACTTCGTGTTCCTTCTACTCTTGTGTATATTGTAATAAACTATTAACTGTATATGTGTGGTTTAATTCACCATCCGCCACATTTGCAATATAATAGTAAACAAGATATTATTCATGGTTATCAAGATCACGAAAATCAAGGCAGAACTGTGGAGCCAGCCACAAATGCATTGCTTTTTATGGCTATTGGAATCTGAAAGAAGTGGAAACAGCCTTTAACTTTCTACTATTCTGGTGACTGTGTTACAGCTGATAGATTATCTGTTCTAATAAAAGAAGTAAGTATGCAATATAGTTGACTGGAGAAAAAAAACCAGTGCATACTCCTTATACAGGGTGTTTTTGGAACGCTCCCGAAAACTAAGACAGGCGACAACACCAAGTATACCTTTGATCATGGGTCACAAATAAATTCGATCCTGATGAAAAAAAAATCATCTTTTTACAAGGTTTTATTAGCTTTATTCACGCGCCATCATGTTAGTACAGCTAAATGAAACGATAATTTCATAAAAAATATCATGAAAATACTGAAACATAAAACCAGCAGTGGAATGACTGAATTGATATCACCTGACCTGAGCTAGATAAAGGTCAATGTACGCGCGAACACAAATTCGCGCGGCCCGCAACTAGCGGGCCATCCCACAATATAATAATTTACAACACGTGTCTAAATACCTAACTTATCTACTTAACCTACTATTTTGCCACTGTGCTTATCTCCACGTAGCCACTTTAATCCGAATTTACAGGTTAAATAACCCAAATAACTGGTTCGATTCCCCGCTAATGAAGAAATACTTAAATGAAATGTAAACAAGGTTGGAGTCATGCGTTTTTATTCATCGTGTAGGTATGTTTATTATTCTCATGTATTCAGTTATGTACCTATTCAGATTAGTCTAGTACTAAATTATTTAAAAAAAAATAGTTATGAAACAGCTTACTGCTCTAAATCCTCCGTGGTCTTATGAGATGCGGCTCAAATTGTGCTCCATTCATTTCAAGGCAGATTTGGGTGCAGGCATCATCGTGTGGTCTTCGACACAGTCCGTACGTAGTTTCTCGAAAGCATCCACGATCCTTTGGCGCATTTCTTCAGCACTATCACATTCACGATTAAAAACCCTTTCTTTCACATACCCCACAAAAAGAAGTCTAACGGAGTCAGATCTGGTGAGCGAGGTGGGCAAGGGGGTGGTCCTAGTCTGCCGATCCAGCGATCATCAAATAGCTCATTGAGGCGCTCACGGACGAACCTCACGAAATGTGGAGGGGCACCATCATGTTGGAACTATGTGCGGCGATATTCAGCCAACGATAGGTCGTTTAAAATGTCAACCAACTGTTCATTTATAAAGTTTAGGTATCGCTGTCCGTTCAGTCGCTCTGGCAGAAACACTGGTCCCAGTATGCGATCCTTAAATAAACCTGCCCATACGTTAACCGACCATCGGGTTTGGTGCCCGGTTTGTCGAACAGCGTGCGGGTTAACCTCTGAATACATGTGTGTATTTCTTCGGTTCCACAGGCCGTTTCTGGTAAATGTCGACTCATCCGTCCAGATAATGTGCTCAATGGAACCAGGTACACGTTGTTGCTGGTATAATAACCAACGGCAGAAAACTCTTGTGCAATTTGTATGGGCGCATTGGTTACGCTTCAACACTTTGTGCACTGCACAGTATGACACACTTGTTCCATCTCGACGTCTTAACAATTTATTTAGCGATACTTCGTGTACCTAGGTTCGGATACCTAACATGTTGACCACTATAAACGTACGCGTTAGGCATTATTTAAACAAAAAAGAATCCAAAAACGTAACAAAAACTTTAATATCAACACGTAATCACAAGTAAATTTATTAAACAAAACGATTGAACTGTCGCTCGCGCACGCGTGTACAAAATCAACACGGAACTGTCTCAAAAACACAACTGCGTCACAAGCGTGAGGCGACAGGGAATAGGTCGACAGCGGAGTGAGTGTGGGTACAGTCGCGTTCTAAAGTACTACATGGTATTGGGCAATTGTTTTATAATATTATAGTAATTAATTGTTTTATTGTAGAATCATAATAGGTGTTTTACTAGCTACTTAGAACTTTGGAAGAGGTGGGAATTAAAAATAGATAATGTTTACTTGAGCATTGTTTGTTATTTCTATCGTAAAATATAAAGTAGTTTGTAACAAAAAAACTTAAGCTAAGGGTGACACGCCGTCCATTATGACGTCTTGGGTCACATGGAAGCCAGATGTTGATGGTGTGTTGGTGTTACTGGATGCTACTTCATCATCACTTTCATCTTCGCTTGAGCTTCCGTCATCAGGTCGATCACATGGTAATTTTTTCGGTATTCTTCCTCAACAATTTTAACTTTACTGCACAATTTTCCCCATTCACCTTCTCCTATCATATTTACCTTTTCGTTCACTAGTTTAGTCATAAAACAATAGATATAAATAATTTTTTTCCTTCCTTTTTAAAACATCGTCGCGAGTCGCAAAGTAAGCTGTGTATGCGACTGTATTTTTGGAGCGAACAAAGCGCGGGAACCAATAGCATGCAGGCACAGTAATACTGGCCAATATGTGATAAATCGCTCAGTGCCCAAGTTCAAGGCCAGCGTTCTTTTTTCACCGTTCGCGCGTACATTAACCTCCATTAGTCAGGTGATATCAATTCAGTTTCCACTGCTGGTTTTATGTTTCAGTATTTTCATGAAATTATCGTTTCATTTAGCTGTACTAACATGATGGCGCGTGAATAAAGCTAATAAAACGTTGTAAAAATATGTTTTTTTTTTCATCAGGATCAAATTTATTTATGACCCATGATCAAAGGTATACTTGGTGCTGTCGCCTGTCTTAGTTTTCGGGAGCGTTCCAAAAATACCCTGTATATAATTATATATTTGTATTTACAGGTACTCGTACTTGATGCAAGCTTCCAAGCTGGATTGAACGTCACTGCTACTGTATCAGACAACTTTGGTGTGAAAATCAAATTATCTTGTCTTGAGCAACCCGCCGCGCGGATGATCACCAGATTCATATTAACAAACAGACTCAAATAAATGTATTTTTTAATAGTTCTGTCATTATTTATAATATATTTTATATGTTTATTATTACAGGTGTAGCCAAGTGGAGCCACATTAAAACATTCTTTGAAAAAGACAATGGAAATGCAAATTTTGTTTTTGCACCTGCTTGAACCAAGCAGCAAAAATAATTTTAAACAAAAGATGAAGATCAGCTTAGCTTGCCAAGTATTCAGTCACTGCAGGAATGCTTGCGAATATTGCGAACAATAAGTTTATTTATTTATTTATTTATTATATATCCACTTATTATTATCATTACAGGATTGCCCTAATACGATAGATAATTCATACTTTAGTTATGTTTGATATTATAAGTTTATAACCTAAAACATAGAAATAATAACAAGGTAGCCTTTGTGAATTCGTTCAGAGAACATCCGAATAAATCAATTCGCTCAGTCACCGCATTGATTGTACGTAGCGCGTTGGTGATTGGCGCCTCGCGTAAAAGGTTGGTTCTCGCGCGCGGTAGTTCCAACAGTCGCACTCGTCACCGCGGTTCGGCACTTCCATCTGGCACACACAACTTCATCTCCTGCAGCATAGCTGAGTTGTTAACTACACCCCGTAGTACCTTAAACAAGTATGTGGCCATTAGTATTAAGTTGTCCTATTGGATAACTTTTAATATTCTTTAAAAAATAATCGAGACGTTTTCTGGAAATATCAATAAAATATTATTAGAATTTATTCAAATAATCGTTTTAATAAGATAAAATTAAGTTACTTCGTCTTGACAGCTTTCTTTTATAATGGAATATTCTTATAAAGATTACATTAGGTTTAATTATTTGGCTGGTTGTTCACGCTCGTCTCGTCTTGTCTCGTGCCTCTCTCCTCGACACGCTTCCAAGAGCGAACGAGGGCGCAAGGCGCAAAGCAACGCACACTGAAAAAATATTTCAGAAGAAAGGTTTATTACAACATCAAACTACCCTCCATCTGATAGTAACAAAAATATCTTTAATTCTGCTGAGGTCTTCTAAGGACGAAACAAAAACCAAAAATAAAATAATTAGTGTTTGCTCGTACTATGTAGTAATGAGTCGTAATCAGATCTTTTTAGAACTCATTAACTAACAAAAGTTTCTAGAAACAATAGATACGTGATTTTGTAGGTCATTAATAATCTCTTAATTAGCAGTAGTTTACAAAAAAGTTAAAGATAATTACCAATAATTAAGATGAATTCGGATTGTTATCACTATTAATTGCATGCATCTTTCTGCGTTTAAACAAGTTTGAAAAATAAAATAAGAAAGAAAGTTTTCACGATTTTGTTTAAAAAACAGTGAAGTATTTTCCATAACACAGAGTGTGTCAAAAGTCATACATATTTAGTACTATAACCTCCTGTAAGGATGTAATGCGCCATTATGCGAATAGAGGGTTATACTGATTTTTCGTATTTGCTCTATATATTTATTTATTTTTTCGTAAAAAATATCTTAAGTCCTCAGTTTTTAAGTCAAAATACTTCGTGTGACATTTTTGATCATCATCATCATTACAGCCCTTCACAAGTCCACTGCTGAACATAGGCCTCCCCCAAAAAACGCCACAAAGCACGGTCCTGAGCCACCTGCATCCATCGACTTCC